AAAAAAAAAAAAAAAAAAAAAAGCACATTGATATTCTGGGGTCTTTGTGTAGTATCGTGACATTTCTTGAGGACTTTATTGGGATACTTTTCCAACTAGATTCCCCTTCAGGGTGCCAGGAAGGATTTGTCTTTCTGGATAGTAATGTATTGGTATGAAACAGTCTGAACAATTGACTTTTGCCCTTAAAAAAAGTACTACTAAACTAAAGCTTTTTATACAGTTGGGTACAGTAATGTATTTAATTCTAGATGTAAACCTTAAGAAATATGACAAATTATTAGTATTTCTACCTGGGAGAAACTGATTTGTAGAATATGAAATCTGTAGTTTACGTAGCATTTTTGCTTTGTTTTGATTTTGTTGCAAAGTTGGGTGTAACAAAATTGCCAGTGCTTTAGGCCTTTTCCACAAACCTTAGTCCCCACACAGGTCAAGGATGCTGTACCCCTCAAGTGCCTGAGAGCAAAGCTGCAGGCACGAAGGTGACAGAGGCTTAGCTAAAGTGCCAGCCGGTTTCATGTGAAATGCCACTGTTGCAAATCGGGATGGCTGTTGGCATCAGCAGCTCTTAAAATTCTGCCTTTTTTTTTTTCCTCCCGGAAGGTTAATTATTCACATTTTAAAATTAGAACAGAGTAGATTGCTGCTACTTCCTTCTGTTGTTATTTGTGTAAAAGAACCAAGCTGAAACTTCTAGATAGAATTACTTTTAAACATTTATGAGCTTTCACATGTAATTAAGAGCCTTTTCGATGGCTCAAAGTTGGGGCTTATAGCTAATAAATAGCTTATAGCTAATAAATGTAAATGGCAGTTGGCGATGCTTAGCAGTCAGTTTGGCCTTCTGGGTGGGGGAATCTATTCTGCCTCAACAGCTCTTCGCAGTGTTTTTCTCCTAAGCACTGAAGCCTTAGTCTGTAAATCCCTTGGCAGTGAAAGGGGCACAGGAAATGCCTGACAAAGTTCTGGACAAGGGTGACCACTTCTGAGAACCCACTTGATGGATTCTAATTTGCTTTAGATATGTGTTAATTTTCCTTTTTTATCGGGGTAAAATTTGTGTACCAAAACTAACCATTTAATTCTTTTGGGTTTTTTTTTTTTTTTTTTAGTGCTGGGAATTGAACCCACAGGCTTGTGCCTGTCCAAGTGCTCTGCCATTGAGCTACATCCCCAGCCCCAAATTAACCATTTAAAAGTGAACATTTCAGTGACATTCAGAAGGTTGTACAAAGCATCACCTCTATCTGATTCAAAACATTTTCATCATCCTAAAATGAATCCCCACACTTACTAAGCAATAAGTCCTCATTCTTCCTCTCACACCACCACACCCAGCCCCTGGCAACCACTGATTTGCTTTCCGTAGCTATGGAGTTAACTATTTTTGGTGGTCCATATAAGTACGATTGTACAGTATGTGACTTTCTATGCTTGGATTCTCTTGTTTAGCATATTTCCAAGGTCTGTCTACGTTGTAGCACACATTAGCACTTTATTCATTTTCATAGCCAAGAACTCTTCCATGGTATGAGTGCACCATGATTTGTTTGCCCATCCATCCACCGATGGGTGTTTGAGTTGTGCCTGTACTTGGCTGTTGCGAATAGTGCAGCTCTGAGCATTTATGTGCAAGTATTTGTTGCAGCACTTGGCTGTTTTGTTTTTTGTTTTTTGGCTTTATACCTAGCTGTGGTATAGGTGGATCATAAGTTAGATTTATATTTAAGGTTTTATGTCTTATTTTCAAATAGGATCTAAGTCATGAAGTTGCCCCAAACTGGCTCAAATTTGCAAACTTTTTGCCTCACCCCCCCAGAGCACTAGGACTACAGGGATATGCCACCAAGTCCATCTTACAGTTAAGTTTTTGAGGAGCCTCTACAGGGTTTCCACAGTGCTGCATCATTTTACATTCCTCCTGCAAAGCTAGAGGGTTCCTATTTTTCTACACCCTCACTCACATTTATTTTTCATTAAAAATGCAGGGCCAGGGATTTAGCTCAGTGGTGCTGCTGCCTGCCTCACAAGTGCAAGGTCCCCAGTTCAATCCCTGGTACCAAAATAAAGAAATAAAGAAATAAATAAAAATATTGCAAAGAAAAAAAGATGAGAAAATGAAAAAATGGAAATAAAGTGTTTGTAAATGGAGAGGGGAGGAGGGGGTGAAGGGAGGGCAGGGACAAGGGGAAAAAATGAGAACCAAGACCGGTCATGTAAAGGTACAAGATCCCAATAATGAATGTAACTGTACTGTATGCCTAAAATGTACCAATAAACTCAATAAAAAGAAAAAAACCAGAAATATTGCAATAAAGTTCAAAGTTTACTTTGAGATGATGTTGAACTTCTGGAAAAACAATTATACCTACCCTAGTTGATATGAAAGAGTATTCCATTGTGGTTCTGACCTTATTTCTCTAATAACTAATGCTGTAGAGTATCTTTTTATGGATATGACTTATTTATGGACACCAGACATCCCCATCAGCACACAAAATCTTAGATTGTTATGGTTTGTCCCTCCAGATTCATGCAGAACTCTAGTTCCCTAAGTCATATGTTAATACTGTTGAGGGCAGAAAGTTAATCCAACCATAGCATTACAGGTGGAGTCTTTGTGATGGGGTTAGGCTTACTAAGGCCATTAGAGTTGAGCCCCTCGATTGAATATGGGTGGCTTTGTAAGAAGGTCAGATACACAGACACAGGGACAGATACATATGTGCTGCTGCCATGATGTGATTTAGCCAAGAGTGAGGTTTGCCACAGCCTGGGCTGTGCTCCTTGGACTTCTAAAACCATGAGCTAAATAAACCTCTTTTCCTTATAAGTTAGCCTGCCTTAAGTATTTTGTTATAGTAATGAACAACTGACTAATACATAGATCTTACTCCAGATTTTCCTCTTCTGGTGTTGGAAGGTCTGACATCCCCACTTTATATAAAATAGTGAGGAGGTCTGCAAATTCAGTGGGATGAGTCACACATGGGAGGAAGTACCAACATGTTGCCTGTCTCACTGTGGAAACCCCTTCCCGTGAATTCTTTGTTCTCCCCTGGCATCAGGTAAGTGGACTAACTCAGCCAACCGACTCTGTGGAAGCTGAAGCATTTGTGACTAGGAAGGCCCTTTTGGTATTTCTTTGTCAACAAACAAGTGACAGAGGAACAGGGCAGTTGAGAGATGCAGGTGTTCAGGAGGTGACAGCAGAGGACAGGCAGGCAGATGTTCACTCAGTTTCCACCTGTAGTTTGCACTGGGACTGGGGATGTGGCAGGAAGTGACGGGAGCTCCTGACCTCCTCTGTGGGTGTGGTTGTTGGCCTGCTCACATGGATTTTATGTTGTCCAGAGGCCTGAGGCCCTATTTGGAGGGTACTGTTGATCCGGGAAAGGCCTCAGGAAAAGGGTGAAGAGGAGACACAAACTAGAGTGGAGTGGGCATGGGTGTCTCTGAGTCTGGAGGGAGCTGCCCTGGGGCACGTGCTGTACTCAGGGCTGGGGGCATCTGTCAGGTGAAGATAGCCTGCAGTGTTTCTCAGACTTCCATGACCTTAGGAGTGGCCTGGGATAATTGCTGAGGATGTGAAATTTCCAAGTCTATTGAATCTAAACCTCTTGGGCAGTAATGTTTAGCATCGTGAGATCTGGGAAACTGCTGCTTGGTAGAACAACACAGGAAAAGGCAGCATCTTGTGGGCTGGATACCTGAGGACCTCTAGTGTCTTTGGGGCCTTCTGGAGACTTCTACTTACAGGTTCCAGCTGTCCTAAGGGACCTTGAGAGGAAGGCTGTGGGTTTGTTTACAGTTGGTCCCAAGTGTTGATGGGAGGCCCAGCC